AATTTATTGAGATAAATTCGTTTTGCATTAAAATGATGCTTAAGAAAATGCTTCATATAACCTTACATTTACAAAAGTTTACAATAATTATATCTTCCGTTAATCTTACTACGAACAATTTCAACATGCTGCACAGTGGACAGATTGAGGGAAATTGGGGGGCCCGAGGTTTCAGTTGGTTGCGATAACGGTTGGTCACACGGCACCGTGGCGATCGTCAGATGTCCACGGAGGAGTGAATTACCCGAGAAGTGAATTTAATAGAAAAATACCTATGACTTTCCCTCATAGTAATGTAACGGAAGTGGTGATAACACTTTAATATTTGAGTTGTTCGACTCTCATCTTCGGCCTAACATACTTAGCGACCAAGACTGGCTCAGATAATCGTTCTTTATCAGAGTTTTAGCAAATAGTGTGGGAGCGGTCTTCAGGTTCAGGCTCAGAGATGATAGTTTCTTGTATGTGTGAGTATTTATGACACATTAAAATGATTCTTTGCTTTATATCTGTTTGTATGTCTGACTACAAGACATGTCAAGAGGTTAAACATGGCTTTCCTCCGCAAAACACGTAACATTTCTGGTAGGGTGTTAAAATGTATACCTCCTTCCAAACGTTAGAGCGGTAAATAGAAAAATGGTACATTATTGGTGTACAATTTGTCCACAATTATGATATTATTAAATGTTATAAATGTAAACTTGAGGAAACGTCTAAAAAGGAGAGGTTAGTTGTGAGTAATACATAATATGTATAATTTGTATTTCAAGGCAGCAAATGTATTTCTTTTCTTTCCTTAGAATTGAATCGGGCTGAAGAGGAAAGGAACAAGTAATTTCTTGCCACTTTTCAGGAGGAAGGAAACATTAAATAATACTCACATATGTTATATTATCCTGTCCAATTTTCCTGTGCGACTACGGTAGCCTATGACTACGATAGCCTATGTCTACGATATCCTATGACTACGATAGCCTATGACTACGATAGTCTATGACTATGATAGCCTATGACTATGATAGCCTCTGACTATGATAGCCTAAACGATGTGATTCGTTTCTTCACAGCTCAATTTGCTTTGCCTTAAAGAATAATTTTCCAAAATAAAATTTTTTGACTTGTTCCCTTTCTCTTCATGCTGATTAAATTGTTTTATTGACATATATAATCAAACTAGATTGAGTAAATATATCTTCAAATAGCTTAAAATATATTGGAAATAATTGTTTTCAAATTCGCCATGCTACGTTTGGCGAACTGATAGGGCTCATTTCGAATCTAGCGCTTTTATTCCGGCAGCACGAGTGTACTGGGCCGAGCGCTACCACTTTCTCTTCTACTCATTCAGTACAGGCCCGGACGAAGCCCATTGAGAATTGCGCATGCATTTGATTAGTAGTGATTGCTTCCTTTACAAATCGTCTTTTAAATCTACCTCTTCGGGATCTGCCACCCATAATGAACAGGTCGTGTATCATGCAGCATTGACTGCCACACTAGCCTTTCCCCACACTTCATTAGAGCCTATCTGAATTGCCAAATGTATACCAGTTGTCTCAAAAATGAATGTCTACAATCAATAAATATTATTTGGAACGTTATATTAAGTTTTTGATTATATAATTCGTTTCGAGTAAACTCCCTATCACAAAATTTTTTCTCGCGATCCTCACAATGATCGAATCATCTGACAGACAAAACATTTGATGCCCGCAAGAAAGGTATGTCTATGGTATTTTTTGAGATACACAACATTGAATTGTAGGAAGGAACTCACATCTATCGCAGAAAGGGAGCTAAAGGCACTATTTGTAGTGTAATTTGTAACTAAGGGTTATTATTATGCAGTGCACATTCCTTCGTGATTGGTCTTCCGAGTCATACGAGTACGATTGAAATATTTGTCGTAATCCACCGAATAATTTCTCCAAAGTGAAAATGTCAATTTTCCTCAATAAAAACTACCAAACCTAGATAATTTAGTGTATTGAAAATAAAAACTGTTTTAAAATATTCAAACATTCATTTTATTACATTTTGTTGACATTATTACCTAATATTGATATCAGTTCATCTAACTCCCACATAAAATCCCATTTCAATTGAGTGAACCATATTCTAAAGACCTATTGGGGAACGACCTTGCGTTCGTTTCGGGCACAAGCGCCTTGGGTCTCGCTCCAGTCACTGTTCATGGAGAAGGGGGGGAGGAGTGGCTCACAAAAGAAGGAAGGGCGTTTGTTCCAGACAGGTCTTGAAGTGGCGGTCTCGGACGAACAATGGCTGAATCCGTGCGGAGAAACGGAAGGAGTAAAGAAGAAGGACGGATGAAACGAGGCAGCTCCTTTGTAAATAATCTGAATGTTTCAGCGCGAGTCGGTGCGCCGGCGGTAATTTTCCGGTTGGCCATCGATCGCGCCCTGTCATTGCCACCGAGAGTTCACCTCCCGTGCCTTTTTTTGAATTGAATTTAATTTGCCTTATTTTACGTGGCGAGACTCGAGCCATCAGACCCGCTCTTCCGTCTGACCACGCAAATTTCGCTACACTCCTTTCACCAAGTAGCAGAGAAAGGAGGTATTTCGTAAGCGAGAAACAGATGATTTGAATTTAGCCCAAAGGCGTCATTTAGGCTTGAGGATCTTTTCCTTGCAAGTAAATCTACTAACATAGGACAGCCGGCTTTACTTCGCCCTCCGAAGGAAGGCGTACGAAAGATTTTCTCGCCCTTAAAAATCCACGGCTTCGATCGGGTTTGGGCACAACAGTCCGGTATGCTAACCGTTACACCATCGCCGCCTCTCCTTCTCGTCCTCCGACTGCACCTCGCCCGCAAAGCGGCATGCGGTAGTGATGCGACATCGATAAAAAACATCGACGTTAGCAAACATCGATATTCAAAATTAAAACACCGACGTTAACAATACAACAACAAGAAACCGTAGATGTTTTTCAACATCGATATTTTTAAACTAGTAACTAGGATTAGTAACCTCTAACATTAAATTCCTGTGAATTAAAATTTAATTTGTCAGTGTTCGTGTATATCAAAATTGCCGAATAAGGGTCCCAGAAAAAGAGCCTTACGCCCACAGCGTATTGGTTGACTTCATCTCAATGTGCGAAATGAATATGAAGAAAGAGAAAATACAAGGGCATGGAGGTCATCTCGGGCGACTCAATTTGGTCTATTAATGTAGTGCGTTCGTTTGGTTCCAACAAGTAAATAACAGTATTACTATCAGTTATTATTTCATACTTCAACTTTTACAGTTATGTGATCACGGGGATAGTTTCATCCAGAAACAAAAAAAAATCGGAAAAGGAAAAACATCGGTCACAAAAACATCGATGTTACAATACATCGGTATTAATACATCGATGTAACTTCAACAACATCGATGTATTGAAAACAGCGACATCGATGTTTCTCTCCTAGTGTCCGGTACCACAGTTTGTGAGGGCAAATCGCTCCGATTGATAGATTGATTAGTAATTCGGGGGTGTAAACTTCTGAGGTCATTAGTTCCGTTAGTGTAGTACATATTCTTACCACTGGAGGTGGCTGTAATTTTCTCCCGAAGAATGGAGAGATCTAGACTTGCCCAACACGCCGGCTCGCGACCTAGATATACTAGGATTTATTTAACCGTGCACTTGACGTTCACGGTTTCATTCAATCTGAAGCTTGAACGTTCCCATAGTGACGTCACTGTCGTGACATATAAGCTCCCGATTGGATGAAACCACAACAGCTGAATTGCGTCTAGTTTACGACTAAATAAATCGAACTATATGTAGCTAGTGTCGGAAATTCTGCACCGTCACAACTTGAACACTCGAATCTCCCGGTCAGAGGCCCAGCAGAGCACATTAATTGATGCTCGGAGCCATCTAAATCCTCCGAAGCAAATATTAGATATGGTCAGGCTATCCATTAACAAATTTTGTTCCAGTTTTAAATTATGAGAGAACACTGCAAAGAAGGGAAATCAATTTTCTCCACTATCAGCATGCATACGCACTATTAATATATGGAATGTAATTGAATTCATAGGAGGCACAGAAAATATGGTCCCTGATCATTCAGCATTGATTAGCAACAAACTTTTGTTTTTTATAAATTACGAAATAAAGAAGTTGAAAAGATTATACTAAAAATAAAACAATATAACAATTTAACCCCTAATTCCCCAAATTATTTCTCAATGATTTTTAATTACATTCTTGCTCATGTTGCACTTCTTGGCAACGTAAGTAGGAAAAGTTTGGTAAATATTTTTTAGGAACTTGACAATTAAGTGTTTCAATATGGACACGTTGGGCACTTACCTAGTCACACGTATTATAAAAATATACGAACACAAAGTCGACAGTTTGGATGACATATATTTTCCAATACTAAAATGAAATTGGTCAATCCCTTGCAAGTACAGTAGAGTGCTAGCAAGAAGTTCAAGTTTATAAATATATCCCAGATATTTGAATATCAATATAATTTTAAAAATCAAAGTTTATTAGTGAGTGTAATTTAGAACTAGATTATAACCAAATAGTTTGTTGAAAAGAAATGTTCGAAAAACAATGGATGTATTATAACTCAGGTTATTTCCAAACTAACGTTACAAATATTAGTCATATAGATAAATTAAATTTTCTGACAACATGTGTCTATATCGATACGCTAGGTTAATTAAACCAGGGATCAAAGTATTACATATCCAAATAATTTTATTCTTATGCTCATAAAAGAAATTCATAGGAAATCAATGAAATGTATTAATTTTTGGTTAGTATTTTCGTTAATTTATGAATACGAATTTCCATATTAATAAAAATTGTTTTGATATTCTTGAAAAAGGGTTGAATATAGTGTCATTTTTCACGAGATAAATCTTTATAAATTATAAGGAGGAGATTGGGAAAGTGTTTTAGTGACTTTGTTGGTATGCGTCAATCATCAGTGTCCTTTCGTAAACTTTACAGAAAGTTTTTTATTATTGAACAACATCCTGCATGAAACGCTGCTCCACGTCGTTCACTGAGATTGAAAAAATTACAGCTTAAAAATATGCTCAAGAGGAAACGATTACCAGATCGTTACACACTTGCGACTCTGAACAGCCGTGTGGCTGGTGTAATAGCACCCAGTAACTGCTCTTTCATAACCCTGGCCAGTCGATTTAAGCAACCGACTTTATAAATAAAGAAGTACGTGACTTTTTGCAAAGTTATCAGTACCTGTACTAGTAGTAACAAATCTTATGTCTAGTTTTAAAATAACAATGCAAGACACGCAATGATTCAAAAACTGAAATGTATGCAGCTTTTTCGAATATTATTTAATATATCCTGCAGTAGTATGCGTCTAAAACACTTTTTGCTTCCTTTTTAAAATGTACTAAATTTTCTATTTAATTTCATAACAAGCATACATGTTGCCGAAGTTCAAGATATGAGTTCATCTCAGGAGAAATGCCATACCAAATTAATTTACTTTTTTAAATATTTTTCTGCAAAACCTGTATATCCAAGAAAATCTGGAAATTTCTTTGTCGCACCATTACATAATTTTCTTTATTCCTTAATATATTCAATAAATACATGTACACGAAAGTAACTAAATGCTGCAGACTACTACACACTTCCTCGTAATAGTTTTCTTTTATTTTGTGTTACTTCTAATGTAACAAAGCACATTAAAGGTCACATATGTTCAAAAAGTTGGTTTTAGGTATTTTATTTTCATTTTAAAATTTTTAAATTACGAAGTCGCTACACGTGTGCAGTTAGTACGGGCTTGTGACTCGGGCTCATGATATTTGGGCTTGGAGATGATCCCAAATTCATGGTTACAAAAGCTGTGGGTTCGAAACCCGGGTTAGGAACTAATGTTTTTTCGTGACATGGGGGTAGTTCGAGACCATCGTAAATTATATTTACTCCCTAATCGTTCTACAATCGCTTCGTCTGGCAGGTGAGTACAATCGTGTACAATTTAATAATTAATTGGGGAAATAGTTGAGTTTGAAATTGAGGTTTCTAATTGAGGAACCCGATCACTACACGCGGAACAAAGGTACAAGCACTGAGATGGAGGGAATGGATGCCATGGGTATGTGCAGTATGTGATCAAAAGTATCCGGACTCATGGCTGAAAACGACCGTCCAGTTCGTTGTGCCCTACATCAGCCATGCTGGAATTCAATGGGATGTTGGCTCACCTTTAGCCTTGATGACAGTTTCCACTCTCGCTGGAAGGTTTCTTGAAGAACGGCAGCCCGTTCTTCTCGAAGTGCTGCACTGAGGAGAGGTATCGATGTAGGTCGGTGAGGTCTGACACGAAGTCAGCGATCCAAAACATCCCAAACGTGTCCGATAAGATTCAAGTCAGGCCTTTGTGAAGGCCAGTCCATTACAGGGATATTATTGTCGTGCAACAACTCAGCCACAGGCCGTGCAGTATGAACAGGTGCTCGATCGTGTTGAAAGATGCAATCATTATTCCCGAATTGCTCTTCAACAATGGGAAGCAATAATGTGTTTACAACATCAACCTGTAGACCTGTGCCGGGATAGTGCGACACAAACCAACAAAGGGTGCAAGCCCCTTCCATGAAAAACACGATAACACCACAACACCATTTTGGACGTGTCCGGATACTTTTGATCACATAGTGTATATCTAGATATGGGGTCGAAATAGGTCTTCGCAATGTTCGGGGTGCACGAAGGTACTCTTCACTTGAATTGTTTCCAGAAGAGCAATATGTGCCGCGATAAACCGCACCGATAGATGCAGGGAAGAGGGTGAGCCAAAAACTGTTTTTAATGCCTCCTTGTAAGAGAAACTGTTGTCATAAAATCGTTCCAGCTTCACGTTAATATACGTAAGAGAACGCAGTCAAACCAATGCGGATGATCATACGTTAACAAATTATTGTAAATTGATAAGTATTTTTTCTTTATACCAAATTTGTCTAAAAAACTCAAATATTTCATTGAAGGTTATTGGTTGAAATCCAATGACTTAAACATATTTTTCTCAATATTCATTTTTGCAAATTTTCAAGGTAAACAGAACAATATGAAAAATGTATGTTAACACCCTACAGGGATTGCATTAAATTTTTCTTATAATCTTGAATAATAATAAAGTTTCTAACATCCAAAATCACCACAAAGATCATAATAATTTTTTATTCATTCCGAACACAAATTTTGATCATTTCTAAAATGTTTTAAAATTATAATTACGACATGAAAAAGTATTACGTGTAGTGTTGAAAGAGAAGTGCCTTTGGAATAGTGTTAAAAGTTTTATACACCACAATGTACTGAACAAGCATTATAAACGTGAAAAATAATAAAGAACTAAAACACATGAGTTGTTGTTTGAATCAGAAACTTTGTTTGTTCATTATTAACATTTCAACACGTTAATTGTACACATTTTCTATCTATGCTATTAAATATAAATACATTAAAATTTCTCAAATAACAGACATAGTTTAACATAGTTTATCTTGACCTGTAACTTTTCATAGCTTCCAAAATATGTTTTTACTTAACATGAATTGTATAGCAAAGATACCCTGGTGTATTCACTTCTCTCTGAAGTAGATTGATATTTCAAACATCAAGTATGCTGTTCACATAAGCAAAAATAAATACATCGTACGGCTTGACCGTCAGAACAAAACATGATATTTATTTACTTACTCCGTTACTCCTGAGTGTATAATCATATCTTTTAGCCTTGCATAAAATGTCAGCAGGCTTCAACACCATGTGGATGTTGAACATTTCTAAATAAATCTCGTCGTCAGCATGTCTATTTACATTATGAACATGTTGCACCTGATGCAGACATTTATCGTGTGCGACTACATTTTATTTCGAAATACCTTTGATTCCATTTTGTTCATGTTTCTTAATCTCATTTAAAAGCTGTTATTTACCATTATTTGGAACCCTCGAATAACATTTAAATAAACGAGAATTTTGATAGTAGACCTTAAAGTACGTCTTTAATGCATATCATTCGTAACTATTCACCACTTTTTCTATGATTTCTATTATTTTGCATATTTATGTCCGTGGCTACATGGCAGAGATAAGTGAAATTTCTTGACATTTTGTTAGAAGTGGATGCTATGTAAATTATTATGTTAGTGCAGACTTGTGCATATGTGGCCAATTTTTCCTGATGGTGTATATTATAGGCGCATATTTTACATATTTCGTTAAAACATGATTTATAAACAAACAGTTAATCTTTTTGTTTTTACTTATATGCGCTTGCGACATTGCGTTCATGAAAAATATATTTTCGAATGTCAGATGGGAGTAAAAAGAAAAATTGTCTGACTATTCTACCCGAACAGATGGCAGAAGAATTTAAATTATCTTCTAGAGCATTTCATTACCAACTGATAATTGATGAAACAATTACAAGGTAATTTAGAAACTTTCAAGTGACAGCCCAGGCTGTTTTACAAGAAGTTGATGACAATGCGCTTGCAAGTGATATTAACAGGGGCATTTTCAATGTAATCACGGTGTCACGAGGCACAACACGGTACTGCGAAATTGTCCTCCAGAAAAGGAAAAAAGTCTGCTGGCTGTAAAACTTGCATAATTAATCACTTCCCGCTGAGATTGCGTTCTTCACCGTCTGGGACCTTAAATTGCCGTAGATACGTCAGGCATGTCGCCACGCTGAAAAGGAAGGAAGGACGGGAGGATGCGTTTTTCAGTCGAGGTGTCGCTAAGAGACGCTTTGCGTGCGTGCCGTGAGAAGCGGCTTTTGACTAATGTTACCGGTACGTTAACTGATATGGCCATTAGTCCCTTCAGCGAGGTGGAAATTGATTTCGGGATGTGGCGGTGTTCCTACGCCTTGACAGTTAGATCCGGCACCGACTTACACGTCGACTTACAGTGTTTCTATAGGCGTTGTGGCGAGTTATCGTTGGCATTTCTAATGAAATAATTATATGCGTCGTCATTGCCAACAATGTTAATGTCGTTGGCAATGACGACGCATATAATTATTTCATTACAGTGTTTCCCCCACACGTATCTCCCCCGTCTCAGCCTGGAGAAAGTTCTAAGTCTGTACTTGGTCTCCTGGCATGTAGTGCATGAAAGCGTTTGCGTGCAAGATCGGTTAGTGACTCCGGGTGCATTAACGGACAAGGTCATTTATCCCTTACGTGTAGTACATGTTTTTTTAATTGTAGGAGATGGCGGTTATCATTCTTCTCTGAATGGCGAGATCTAGCCCCGACCCGTCGGATAACTGTTGTTTTGTTGGGTTTTTTTCAACCAAGAATAATCGACCAGCGGGGAATCACCCCATCCAGGAGATGCTCTAAGCTCCAAACGTGTATGTAGTGCATGAAAGTGCGTGTTCAGTAAGAAGTGAGGAGTGAGGTCCGGGGCTCCTTGGTGTTGGTTGGAGAAGCCACAGAAAACTACCGATCAGAGCAGCCGGCCGCTAGAGTTCTCCGGACAGTGGCTAAATTCGAGCTAGCTAATATGTAGTGAGGACCGAAAATTGGGCCACCATCGAGATCTAAGACCTAGAATTTGCCAATCAAATGTACTGTGTGTGTCAGTGACATCAATTGATTGTCTGAGACACGTAGGTCGGAGTGTGTGCAATGAGAGAGGATAGGACAAGAACGAGGAAGGAAAGATCGCGCAAGGTCCGTGATTGATTGGTTATGATATGATCCAGCATTCGCCTGGTATTGATCGAAAAAAAAACATAGATAACTACAGATCAAATCAGCCAGCCGCTAGAATTCTCCTCCAGACAGTGGTTGAGTTCAAGCTATGAATCTAGTTTCTAAAATTCGCCTCGGTCCGAAAACTAAGTCCAGGAACTAAAACTAAATCCCGGTCAGAAGCGCTTCGGGGAAGTCGGCATTGCTGGCTCCGAGCTAACTCAGCCGGTAGAAGTTGCGTTGTTTTGTGTCGCAGAGTGAGAAGACCTAACTACAAGGGCAACTTTGGTGTGCAGGAGTTTTCCAT